TGTAAATAAGAAGAAGCAGTGTCTATTTAGCAACTGCATACCGGTGATTGCAATCGAAGAAGAAGAAAAGAATTGAAAAGTTGAGTATTCAATTGTGTGTTAATATGTTTCATTTTCTATTTTTTAACATGTCAAAGGAATGTCGTGTCATTTACGAACAATATTGAATGTTTCATTTCGAGCAATAAGACATGGCACCTAAATGAATTTATTTCATTGAAAATGAACATGGATTGTAAAAGTCATCCATGTTCATTTGAACTTTCATTAAAGTAGATGTAACCGCGATAGAGCCGCTGCCGGTCGTAGCTTTTACAAGAATTGTCAAATGGTTGAGGTTTAAATTTGAAAAATTACACCCACCGAGACTGATCGCATTGAATCACAGATGCACTCATTCATTAGCCAATGCATACAGATTAGTATAATGACCAAACATTACACTGGGCAATTTGTGTTTGCGCCGTGTAAAATCAGCGCGCGATCGTGGCGGCTCACCAAATCTTGTGATAGTGGGAATCGAACTCGAAACTACTGTATTTCCAAAGACCAATGCTCTAACCGCTGAGCCACAGCGAGCTTTACTAACTATAAGAAAAAAGTTGGTATAGTGCAATTGTATTTTATGTGTTCACTTCAAAAAAGACGAAAAGAAGAAAGAAAGAAGAAGAAAAAGAAGAGAGAAGTAAACACATTGTAAATTCATATGGCAACGGACCTGCTTACCATGTATTTCGTTGTTGTAATCGTTCTGAGTGTACCAATGTTTTTATATATTCGAAGTAAAAAAAACAATCTCTCCATCCCATACTTTTGTTCGATTCGTTGTTCGTACAAGTACGCGAATGTTGTTTGATTCGTTCTTTCATTGTTATAACGCTATAGTAGCCTTTTGACGTTTGACTGTCACTACATATTCAATTGGTTTTTTCAATGTTCTCATCTACGATGCTCGATTGCACACAGTTTTGTATATTTCGATTTAATTTGACAACAAATTACGCAGTAATGGTTTAAGTATTGTTTAATTTTTGTTTCTTAATATTTCGATAAGCGAACGAATTATTTATACTATTTTATTTATAACTGTAGCCCTGAAGAAGAATAAAATCAACATTCGAAACGTCGGCATTAACTAAAAACAAAAGTAGTTTGGCTTGAATTGACTGAGATTCCATACAACTTTCATTTAGTACATATTGAACATTTTCATTTATTCAAAAAAACAAATATTATCTAATCTACAATGAAACATTTGTACAACATTTTGATATACTAGGATTTATGGATTTTTAACAAAAACCCCTTCGAATAAGGTTGCATCTGAATTGAGAGCTTGTGTGTACTTTAGAAATGGCATCAATCCTCGCCTCAATTGAAATGGACTTACACGAACTATACATTCTGCTAACATAACGTCACGATAGAAATTGTATAATAAAACTCCTGGAAATCCTATTTTTTTCAAACATTTCATAAATCTTTCATCACAAGTGCAGGCACTTATGGTGAAAAATCCGTGATTCCTGTAGATTCTAACTGCATTATTTGGATCAATCTGCATTTCGTGAGACTCGCCTGGTCCTATTGATAGACCCCATCCGTCATGTTCTCGACAACAGGAATCGAGATTACTGAAATATCCCAGTGCCTTAATGGAATAGTGCACGAATTCCAATAGATTTGACGAAGTTGAGCGACCCTTCATAAAACCGTGTTGTTGAGGAACGATTTTGTTCGACACCATTTTACTGAGCTTCAAATTGATCAAATATTCGAAAAATTTGGCTATCGTTGGCAATTTGGCCAAAAATTGGACCGACGGTGTAACGCTTCCATCTGGTTGGAAAATATCCAGTAGAAAGCGATTCGTTGAAGACTATCGATAGCGGTTAATACAGTAAGGCAGCACAATTTTTGAGTAGAATTGGATGTATTCCATCTGGACCAGCGCCTTTCTTCGAGTTGAGTTGAAGCAGCGCCTCAAAAACGGAGAATTCATTGAGTTTGAATTGATCCACGTTTGAGTTTGTTTGAGATGGAACTTGAGCTGCATTTTGAAAATTAGATGGTTGATTCGCGAAGTTATTTTTGAAAAATTATGCAAACATTTCGGCTTGCTCCTTCCTGTCAACTGATGATTTGTCTCCAAAATTTTGCAATCACAGTCACTATTTTTCTTCGCATTGACCGTACCGAAATTATGCCCGAACTGTCACACTGCTAGCGCCACGACGGAATTCAATGTAATCTACACTAAGTTGCCGCCAAATAGTGAAAAGACTTTTGCTCAGTTGCAACCAACGGACTAGAACTCCATAATTGTCCGTAGAGGCGCTAGCAGTGCTACAGTTTTGCATTTTATACAGTCTCTTATGGAGCATAATTTCTGTGTGGCATTGACAAAGCGCCAGAATGATGATGGATCGGACCTCAACGAAGAAGTCATTTTGTCAACGTAAGTGTTATAGAACTCAGTGTTTAGTTTGGTGAACTCGTCGAGCGCTAGAAGATAGTTGGAATTTACACCGGTTACTTTTTATATTTATTTTTATTTATTTCTATTTTTTTATAATTATTTTTATTTTGTATATTTAGTTAATAATAGTTAATAAGGAAGAAAATTAACTGAAGTTTCATATAGAAATGATGAAAAAACTAAACGATATTTTTTTTAAATTAAAACCTAACCATCTGATTGGTACAGTATTATTCATTTGTATTTGCCACGATAAGATTTTTCACCTTGTTTGTGAAGTATTTTCTTACTGAAGATGTTATATAAATCTTTTGATTATAGTTCTCAAAATTAATACTGTCGAAATGGGCAAAACGTAAATAAGTTAGAGAATGTATGTCATCAAATGAATATCCGCCTACTGCGAGATCAATTTGGTTTTCTTCCGCTTCCAATATCATTTGCTCAGCTTTTCTATCGTCTATAGTTGGTATGAATAAAAATTTAATCGATGGATATTTTGTTTTTATTTTAACAACACTTATTGATTGTAATTGTATGGGATTGTTACTCAAAGATAAAGTTTCCAAATTATTAAAGGATCCTTCAAGTAGCAGACTAGTAATGCAGTTACCGCTCAGACCCAAAATAAATAATGTATTGTCTGGTTCAACGAATATTTGAGATATTTGATTATTATTTAGAAAGGCCTCTTCCACATTTGATGGTATAAAAACTCTAGTCTGGGACACATTGGCTATGTTCAATACCTTCAGCGAATCCGGATGTCTTATATCTATGCTGCCTAACTTTGGATTATTATCAGCAGAAAAAACTTCTAAATAGTCCAACATTTGAAATATTTCAGATGGAATAGTTTTTAAATCATTATTGCTTAAATCCAAAACGCCAATCAACATGTTATATCGAAATAAGTCTATATCAATTATCTGGATTCGATTCGTATTCAAATTCAAATTTTCTAATTTTTTTAACGGTTTAAAAACATTTTTATCTAAATAAGTTATTTGATTTGATGATAGATCCAAATATCGCAACGATTTTAAGCCGATGAATGCGTCGGATGCTATTTCCTTGATTTTGTTATTATGAAGCAACAGTTGATTCAGCTGTTTACAAAAGAACAGAAAACCATTTGTCAATTTTCTCAAACTATTGAAATCGGCGTCAATCCATTGTAATCTTTTCCATTGACATATTGACATTCCATCGATTGATGTTAAACTATTATTTCGAATTCTGAGAAATTCCACGTTCGGCGTTTTTTCTAAAAATGATCTGGGCACTGTACTATTTTTGCATATGATTTGCAATTCAGTAATTGGATCAGAACCTCTTATCCAAGGACTTGGAGCGCAAGATTCATTTGTATATTGTAAATCATCTGCTTGTATCGTACACGGCATGTAAAAATTCACATATCTATCCACAAATCTATGTAAGTATGTATGAAATGATGGCAAAAGCGAATAACATATCACTGTCAATAGCAATAATCGCCTAAAATTGAGTAATAGATAAAAAAAATTAACGGTAAATTTACTAATTATAGCAATGGAATGGCAAATAATTATTATAATTAATTACATTTTGATCGATTTACTTCACCACTTGATCACTTCTCAAACTTATTCACGTAAATGCAAGAATATTCAGTGTACGTTTAGCTGCCGAAAGATGACAATTCACACACAACCTTTCTTTGTTGGTTACAAAAACCGAATGAACATTTCAGCTTAGATACATTGTCTTACCATTTATGGACACGGACAGAAAATAAAATTCACATTCCTGACATGCCCAAGAAGATTAAAAATTTGGAACCGGACACAAAAAATATAAAGTAGAAAAACTGGTTTGAATAGAAAATGCATTAATGCATTTGCCTAGGCATTTACATTATTCCTTCCCCGTTGAAAGTTGTTCTAAACGTGTATCTGTAGTTGAGTTTGAAGTTAATGTGTGAA